CTGGCCGACGGAGGGCTTTTTCAATTGGACGTGGAGAGCCTCAATTAAAAGTGTGGCGAAGCTGGCAAAGGAGGAAACACGGAGACACTCGCGGCCTGGCCGGAGGAGCCTCCCGTCCCCACTCTAGCCGCGCGTCCCCCCCCCCGGCACCCCGAAGGTGCTGCTTTCCTCCCCTGGCCGGCCGGCGGGCTCTCCCGTCCGCGGGGTTCGCGGGGCAGCCGGACGGGCGGCGCGCTGTGCACACCGCACCCCACCGGGCCCTTCCCACTTGGTTTATCGCTTCTCCCCCCAAAGCACCAAGTCGGACGTGCTCCCCCTCGCTCCCCAAAGCTGGGTCTCATCCCAGCGCGCGGATGGCTTCACGCGCGGCAGCGGCCACGTGCAGGGAACTGAGCTGCGCTCCCCGGCCGGGCGCCTCCCCGCGACCCGCACCGTCTCTAGTGACGCGGCAGGCCAGTCCCGCTCTGGGGCCCCGGCTGACACACTCGGCTGGGGCCTGCGGGGCGCCGGCACCTGGCGGGTCCCCAGGCCTAGGGGCCGGGCCGGGGTGAGGTAGCGGGGGGGGGGGGGAGTTGCGGAAAGGACTCCGAGAAAAACCAGAGTTCGCGTCTGCGAAATGGCCTCGCTCCCTGCTTCTGAGGTCCCGGCACCAGGGGGCACCAGAAACCGCCCGAGTCGCGCAGGGCCCACGCGGCCCGGAGGCTGCCTTGTCATTTTAAGTGTAAAACCCCCCAGAAGAAGCACTCCCTGGAATCCTCCCCACACCCTTCCACCTGTGGATGCCCTGCCAGGCATCCCCGAGTCCCGGGGCTCCCGCCCCCCGCGCCTCCGCCCTGCTCCTCCTCTTCCCACTTCACCTGCGGCGGTTTCTTGGCAACCCGCTTTTTAGACGCCTTCTTCCCCCCTCGTCACCCCGACAGCCTGGCAGCGGGGTGAGCGCTCGCGCCACCGGTCCCCCGCCCCCCGCCCCCCGCCCCGCACCTCCGCGAGCTGTCAGGTTGGAGGTTTGTTTGGGCTTTGCCTTCAAGAGCCAGGCCTCCGGGAGCCCGCTACAAATTCGGGGGTGGGGGAGGTTCTTTTGGGGGGAGTTAGTAAGGACAGAAATGACCAAAGGAGCCATTGCACTGGACGGATGGAGGCCTTAATCCCCTATAACTGCCCAGGGAGGGGAACGAGGCATGTTTCTGAAAAGCAAGTTTGGGGGTGGGGGGCGTCTGTCTGATCAGAGAGCCCCAAGCCCCAGAGTGCTGCAATGTCTTGCAGGGGTGGGCTAGGGAGTCAGCCCACTTCCTGGACACTTGACACTTGTCACTCGTTGCAAAGGCGACACCTCCCCCCCCCCCGCCCCCTAACCAAAGGGAACCCACGGGGAACCCGCACCGGCGGAAAGCCGGGCACGGCCCCCCCTCGAGGGCTTTGCCCGAGGGGAGAAGTTGTATTTCTTTCTGGAAACGCATCCATAATTCAGACTACGGCAGGCGCGTCCAGCCGAGCGCTCCCAGGGGCTGGGATTGTGGCCTGGGTCCTGGGGAGCCTCCCGGGGTGGGCGCTCCCATTCTGATTCTGCCCCAGGCCGGGGGCGAGGGGGGGTGCAACAATAAGCCAGGGCACCAGGGGCCTGGGGGTGGGGCTCGGGGAAGTCCTTTCCCGCCCGGAGTCGGGGTCCCTTTCCACTGGGTGAAGACTGGACATCCACCTACACGCAATCAGTGGTGGTGGGGGGGGCTCAACGGCGGATGGAGCCCCCCTCACCTCCACAGGAATGGGGGCGCTGGTAAAAAGGCAAAGCAATCGGGCTTGACCAAGACGGAAACGGAGCCGAGCCTGGCCGGGAGGAGTGCGCCCCACTTGTAGGCTCTCGGTCCCTTCGCATGGTCCCCTGCCCGGTGGCCTGACTTTCCTCTCCCATCACACCCAGGGGAGCGTGCTTAGTAAGGTCCACTCTCGATGACGGTCATTTCTCTGCCTGATCCAAGATGACCCTTTAGGGATTGGCCGAGACGGGGAGAGGGGGACCTGCCCCCCTCGGGCGCTCGAGGATCCAAGGCTCCCAAGAACTCCACGGATCTTTGCCCATGTGGAAAAGGCAACCGGCTCCGCGGAAAGGCCAGCCTGTCCCCCGCGTTTCCACTGGGCTCTCTCCTTCGTCCTCCCGGAGGCTCGCAGCCTTCGCAGCCCCGCGGCCCGCCCTGGGGTCAAGGCCGTGCCCCCTGCCCCGGACGCCCCGCAGCAGCCCGCTCCCCTCCTTACCTCGGATCTGGTCTCCGCAGACCCCCAGTTGGACATTAACTCCAGGCGGCCCGAGTCCTAGCCAGGAGACCCATCCGGGCCGGGGGCAGGAGCGCAGCGCCCCCCTCAGCAGGTCAGGGGCGAGAGTTTCCAATCGTGGGCTGGCACGGGGCGGCGAGGGCAAGCAGGAGGCGGCGGCCAAGGTTCCCGCCGCCGCCGCCGCCGCCGCGCGCAAGGCGAGGGCCGCCGACACGTCCCCCGCCGGCCTCGGGTCCCCCCAGCCGCCCCGGCCTGGGGTGCGCGGTGACAGGGCTGCGCGCGCCGCGCTCGATCGGGGCTGGGGATGCCAGCGGCTCAACGAGGGCCGCGGCACCCTGCGCCTCCTCGGGGCGCAGCGGCGGCGACTGCGAGACGGGCCTGTCTAATGCCGGCGCGGGAGCCGAGGTCTGGCCTGGAGATCCGAACGAAGCACCACGTCAACTCGCGCGGGCTGTCCCTTGAAGACATGAGGGCGCCAGGAGCGCAGGGCTGGTCGCCGGGAGCCCGGGCCGGGGGGCCGGGACGGGGAGGGGGTGGAGGGGAGGCGCGGGGGGCCCCGGGAGGGGAGGGGTCTCGAGGCCTCGGCGGGCTTAGCCGCGAGGAGGCGCCGGAACTCCCGAAGTGGATGGGGGGGTGGCGCGGGGTGAGAGTGGGTGACGCGAGGCGCCTCTCCCGGGGTGCAGGGAGAGAGATGGGCGCGTGGAGACGCCGCCGCCGCCGCCGCCGCCGCCGCCGGGCAGATCGGAGGAACGCGCGCCGCTCTGATCAGCCCAACCCGAGGGGGCGACCCGAACTTGGTGTCTGCGCCCCGCGCTGGCAGGCAGGGCTCCGTGCGGGGTGCAGGGCTGCGGCGGGCTTTCTTCGTGCCTGTCAAAGGCGGTCCTTCCCCTTCTGGTGTCGCGCCCTCTGGCTTTTGTGCAGGGCAGCAGGCAGCGGGAGAAGAAGAGGAGCTGCGGGCCAGAGTTCTCCAAGCACCCAAAAGGAGAGATGCGGAGCAGAGCGGCCCGGGGAGGGGAAGCCCAGTGTTTGCCAGGAGACGCGGGAGTGGGGATGCATTTATAGGGCTCCGGCTCCGTGACGTGCCCTCCGGTGGCTTTTCTGATTCGCTTTCTGACCTAAACACACATTAGTTTAGTCCTCATGCTAGGGCCAACACGGTCTCCAAATATCTGCTGGCTGAAGTCAGAGGCTTTGCATATCATGTATTACATGGCCGGCAATGAAGTAGGCTTCTGAGGCTGGCCGGCTTCGCAGTCCTAGGCTCCATTTTCATGCTGTTGTAATACAACACCAGACATGGGGTAGGCACATACATTCGAAATCCCAATTCCAGGCAAGTAAGATCACTTTGCATCAAGAACTCAGGAGAGGTGGGGCAAAAGCTGCTTTTTTCCCCCCTTTTAAATCCAGTCCTCTGCAACTTCGGATGAGAGGGGATCTTAACCAAGCACCCCTCGTTGGGTCCCTGGTTTCCAGCGAGAAGGGACCCAGCTCCCATTCCCAGAGCGAGCGGGAGAGGGGAGGCCTCTTCGCCATTCCCTTTGTTGGTTAGCTCACCAGGAGCAGCAGCCAGGAGCCTTTTGGAAAAGGACACGGAGGAGGTCGAGTCTCCACACACCCTGTGCATGGCTATCACCATAAATAGGTTCCATCCATACAAGACATGGGGTTCACTCTACCTTTGAAATATTGTACCAATTAAGGTATGTCTTTGCTACACAGAAACCTTTTTGCCAATGGACCCGAATCCAGTGGGACCTCTTATATTTCATTGATGGGGGACGAGGAAAGCATACATGGGCTCAGTTCACATCCCCGTGCTGCTTCTTTTATGACTCATTGTGTTGTTGAGTGTGTGTTCTTTAAGTAGCTGATACAGACAATAGACTGGGGAGATGGGTGTGTGTGTGGCAATGTGTGTGGTGGTGGGGGGGGAAGGGGACGTGTGTGGAGATCACATATTAAATTTCTTAAAAGTCAGAGATCAGCTACTTTGGAGGTTTGTCAGTGAAGTTAGTGTAGGCGGAAAATTGTTCTTACTAACATTAGTGTGACTTAAGATCAAGCAAAGTGAAAGCCAAGCCATCCAAACATATCTTACCTGAACTCAGGATGCTGTCTGCAATCTGCAGAATGTGACATTTCCTTTAGCATATGCATGGTAGCACTGTAGACGGATATGGAAATGGAAGGACAGAATAAACTTGATGTATTTATCCCACTTAGCTCTGTTTTGGGATTCTGAAGATGGCTGGAATCTGTTTTTATTTTGATTTTCTTCATAAGGCTTTTTCACTGGGGATGGCCAGGCTGCCTAAGTTTCTGACCTTATTTAGCACTTGCTGTGTGCCCGACCTTGGGAATTAGGAGGATCCGACTTTTGGGGGCCACGAGGATCAGACACCACCAAGTTAACCCGGAGTGATGGAAGTTTACAGTGGAAGGAAGACTGACCGGAATCTCCACCACTCAGCCACGTGGCTCCGAAAAGCCTTCCGGAAAGGCCGCGCAGCCAGGCCTCACGAAAACTGGATTGAAGTTCAGGAACTGGAAGGTCATTCAGGATACAACTCTGGGGCTGGGTTATCTTGCTGCCCCCTCAGCAGCAGGCATCTGCCGGTCCCTACCAACAGGCTTAGCCGCCAGGGTAATTCAGCTCCTCTCCCTCCTTGTTTTTCTCCGGGTGTCCTTTGGCTCCTGCTACCAACTGCTCAGTTCTCTGTTGATCTCACATTTAAAGTCCTTTAGTGAAAGGATCTAATCAGCCCCTCTGGGCACTCAGCAAGTACTTGAGCTGGACTGGCTGGTCACCTGTTAGACTGGCAGATCTTAGCTCAGATGTGATTCCCGGGCCATCAGTTGTGTCCAAGTGGTTGGCATCTCAGGGAATAAAGCCTGGTCCCTTTTACTAAGGGAATTTCCTAAGGTTTCTTTCTACCTTCTCTTCAGAGTAGCTGCTCTTCGAGCAAGGAGCTGTGTTAATCAGGTACTTTGGTTTTAGAAGCCCCATGCCCACAAAAGACTCTGATAAATAAGATATGACCCCTAAGCCTTTGTAAGCCTACCTAGGAGAGGGAGTCATGTGCATGGGTGAGGCTGTTGTGGCATAAAAATTATAACTGCTCTGATGAATCCATGAGGTGTTCATGTGCTGGAGTGTTATCTTCATGTGGTTTGTAAAACCCTGGGGAGATGACAAAAATACCCAGATCCAGGGCCTCCCCAGGGTAATTAAGTCAGCATCTCTGGTGAGGTGAAGCCTAGGAGGTGATTATTTTAGGGCAGTACTAGAATTTGAACTCAGGCCTGCACACTTGCTAGGTAAGCACTTTTATCATAAGTCATACCCTCAAACCTTTCTGCTTTCTTTGGTTCAAGTAGGGTTTTCTGCTACACTCAAGTAGGTCTCAGGCCTTTATTCTCCTACCTCTGCCTCCCAAGTAGCTGATTACACTGTGTGCCAACAGGAGGGGTGGCTTGTAAATGCCCCCTAACTTCATCATAAGCTTTTCAATGGTTGCAGTCATCTTACATAATTCCTTTTGAAATTGCTAATCTGAGAGTACTTTGATAGATTCTTGGACTAAGACTATTACAGAAAGCAAATATTTGTGATTTTTGAAAAAGCACACATGCACATAAATGCAGAACGAATTCCTTCTCCAATGAACACCTGATGTGTAGGGAAGCAAGAAATATACATTGGATGTCCTGGAGACAAGGGATGGTCCCATATCTCAACCTTGACACCTTAAGAAGCTGAAAATATTGGGAGGGGGCACAGCTCTGTGATGCTATCTTCTGAAGGTCACAGAAATAGGTTGTATTTGAAGCTACTTCTCAGCGAAGTCCAAAAACAAACCATTTTTTTTAAAGCATTGCTTTAGCTTTTAATAGTAGAGCATCTTCTGATAAAATGACAAGGACAGCTATGAATTCCTATGGAATTGATTCCAAGTCTCAACTTTCATGTAGTGAATCTTGCCCAAAAGAGCAGAGGGAATAAGGTGGTTTAGGCATCCCGCCTCTTCTTTGAGGAGAATAGTTTGAAGTTCTGTTGTGTCCTATTCTATTTATCTTCAATGGCATCTCTCATAGATCTCTAGCTGAAAAATGTCTAAGTAAGAGGTATGGTTTGTATAGCATCTTTATAAGAAAATAAAATTATAAAAAAGAGATATGATCTGTGCTGTAGGATCTTACAATCCCTAGGAGAAGAAAATACAAACATAGATGACAAAAAAAACCCCAAGCAAACCTTAGGGTTGCATAATGCTGTGGAACTTGAAGTAGACCAGGGTTAGGGTAGGGACACGAAAGGAGTATGGGAGGCATTTCCCAGGCCAGCCCAATGGCTGGCAAAGGGGGCACTCGCAGGCAATGTGTATACCTTCTTGCTCAGCATCTGTGGCCCCAGAGAGCTGCAGCCTGTCGAGAGGGAGGGGTGAGTGGGTCAGCCTGTGGCCTTAGAGTCCTGTATGGGTCTCGGTGGGCCTTTGCAGCTGCTGGGCCTATGAAAGCTGTACCCGAGTCCCTGGACTCCTTCACGACTTGGGTCACGACAGCTGAAATGGAACCCATCACTTAAGCAGGGCAATTTCCTTTTCAAAGTCACTGCTTTATTGGACAGGGATTTGTTCCATGCTTGCTCACTCTTTAACAGCCATTTTCACCAATGACACCATTACTTATGGAGAAAAGATAAATTTGCCTTCAGACCACTTTAAAAAGGGATAAGGATGGGGGAAAAGGGAAGGAGAAAAAGGCACTGTAATGGCCTTTTTGCAAAGTAATGACATGAGGCAAATCCTTTAGAACAAAGTGTTTTTCATAATTAATCCAGACCTTGGCAAGGTAGAGGTATCAATGATTTTATAGTAGTTTCTTTGATAAGAATTGTCAAATGATCCATTAATGTTGATTTTTTTTGTTCTTGCAACCATTTAATGCGGTTTCTCATAAAAATCTTTGAAATAAAACTTTGATCAGGTTGGAATTTTACAGTAGACTTTGTTATTATGCAAATGATTTAATCAAACTATGAGATTTGAGTGCCCAGAGGGGCCAAAGACTTCTAAGCTTCTCTCCTTATTTTACCAGGAGAGGAAATGGAGGCAGAGAGTGGTTCAGTGACTTATTCAAGGTCAGTCTTTGAGTAAATGACACGCAGCTAGCATACGTGGGATGAAAGTGCTTTAATGGTGGTGGTGGTGGTGGTGGTGGTGGTGGTGTGTGTGTGTGTGTGTGAGAGAGAGAGAGAGAGAGAGAGAGAGGGAGGGAGAGACATAGAAGTGTGTTATATCATCTTCCTTTGAAAGTTTGATTTGGTATAATCTTGTTGAGGCAGAAAAATGAGTCAAAATTTCGAGAAATCATTGGGGATCTTCATTTACAGCAGAGATTGATACCAGGCTAAATGAGGAAGGAACATGATTTTGAAAAGAAGTTGCTTGCTGTATACTGGAGCATAGCAAAGGTCGTAGGGACAGCAGAGCACTGAACATATTTTTTCTCCTTCAAAGGCTGCTATATATTTGGATTGGCTTTTAGTCACCCTTCACAAAAACACAGAGGTGTGTGTGTGTGTGTGTGTGTGTGTGTGTGTGTGTGTATGTGTGTGGGGGAGGAGAAAGTGAGAATGAAACTTGAGTGGGGAATCAAGACACTGTTCTAGTTCTGTTTGTTTTGCTTTGTTTTGAGACAGGATCTGCCCCAGAGAGAGCCCAGATCTTGAGATCATCCTGCCTCAGTCTCCTAATTACAGATATGAGACATTATATTTGCTCCTGTTTCCTAGTTCCTTTGCAGAGCATTTAATGCTTGTTGCATAATGTTTGGGAGTTCCTCAAGCATTGCAGTTCGCAGGTGGTAGTCAGAGAATACTGACTTTGTGAATAATGGGCTGTTAGAAAAGGAGTCAGTATCTGAATATTCCAGCCAAAGTTATCCAAAGCACCTCTTCGCCGTGCATTAGTTGCATATAAGTAAAAAGCAATGTAGACTGTTTTCTTTTAAACTAAGATAAGTAAACTTTTGGATCATTTCCAGCTAGGGCATCAGAACAATAAGACAGCCTCTCTACTCTGACACCCCCTTTCCAGAGCCTTCTTTACACAGGCTTCTCTAGTTTTCTTCAATGTGGGAAAATGAATTAATCAATTAATGAATCCTTATCAATACTAATGGGCTTAATAGAAGTAACGAGTAAATGCTAATCGTTCCTTGAGAGCTTCAAGCTCATTCATTCCTCACTGAATTCAGTCCAGGGCAGGAACACCTTCACTCACTTCATAACTAGTCCCAGGCCTTTAGCAAAAACTTCAAGTTGAGAGCAGCACATCTGAAGCATTCACTGGGAAGACGTGCGGGCAACTTGGGTGGGAGTTCTGCCTGGATAGCTCCTTTGGGAAACGCCTGGCATTCTCAGCCTCACCTATTTTTATACCTATTTTCCTCATCTTGCTTCTTCTGTTCCTCTTAGGGACACTATGTGAAGAGATGAAATAGCGAACCAGATTTTCTAAGTTCGTAAATTACTTCCTGGGAATAATTTATATTGCACATATTCTCTCTGGCCACTGGGGTACTATTTGGTAAATTACTGCCTTCTCATACTGCTGTAAGTGGAACCCTAGTGACCTGAAAGAGTTAATGTCTCCCTCTAAGCAATTAACTTACTCCTGGGGCATAATTTACACTCTGAGAGGCTCTGGCCGACCATATGGGAAGTAGTCAGAGTTCTCTGAGAGCAAACTGGTTCTAGAAATGTGAAGAATTAATATTACACAAAGCGCACTTGCAGACTGTTCTTTAAGGAATCCAGCATGAAACTTCTCAGAGCAATTCTGTGGAATAGGACATTGTTATTCTCTCAGAAATCATCCTCCAGCCAATGAGACATCGCCCATAGCATACTCAGCGTGAGGTGAGGGCACAACATATTTATAGAATGATTTCACTCTTGGAAAAATAATAACTAAGAGTTTGAGAAGTACATTTTGGAATTTGGAGTTTTTTTTAAAAAGCTAAAAGTATGGAGCAGTAGGAATGTGATGTAAATATAATGGGTAATTTAAACATACAAATTTAGGAGCATATATTAGAATGGGACACGTTGAGAAGTCCTCTTTAAAATAATACCAGAAAAGTAAAACAGGTTCTGGGTGGGGATACCAGAGAAATGGAGAAGCAAGTGGAGAATTCTGCAAGCAGAGCTGCTGAAGGAGGGTGAATATGGTTAAAGTGTAATATAGACAGACATGAAAACAGAACAATAAAACCTGTTGAAATTCTTTTAAGAAGTGGGGAGGAGGGACAAGGAAGAGTAATAGAAGTAGCAACTTGGATCAGGAGTCTTGCATGTATGGAAATACCACAATAAAACTAATATATGCTAATAAAATGTTTTCTAAAAGTCACCCAAAGAGACTAACTGCATACCTGAATATGTAGCTAACTCACAACATTTCTATGATATGGAAGGATAGTTATTTCGTTACCCAACAAATGCCAGCGAGGCATCTCCCTCTGTGCCCTGTGTTGACTGTTGTCAAGGCTTATACACTTAAAGAAAAAACAAAGAAGGACACAGACTTCAAACAAGTCCTATCCAAGGAGTAGGTGGTAGGAGGAGTGAGGGGGTGAGTT